TATGTTGGCATGGAGTTCTTCCATGATTTGGTCATATTAAAATTAATTCTTTTGATAGTCATCTTTTTGGCAAGTTGTTTTGAAAATTACATGTTGTAATGGATTTCTCAGATAATCAAGAGAAGCAAAATAAAGTGAAATCCCACATAAGGTTATAGATATTTGAAAGATGAATCATCTAGAAATTAAGAAAGTTTCATTAGTTTACAAATTCACAGAAACTCAATTTCATCTTCCATGTCTTTTCCCCCTTCGCCATGTCTGCACCAGGTTGTGCTTTCAACATAAAGAAAAGTATATTACCAAAAGGATGATAAAAAATAACTTAAAAGATAGTGATTTGGTAACCACAACTATTCATCCTGTAAATGTGTATGGTTTCATCTGGGATGAACTTCTCATTCCAATAGATGCTCAGGTATTCCAATGCCTTGACAGATAATTTGTTGAATGTAGCAACTTCTTTATGATTTTCTATTCAATACTGATTAATATGGACATACAGAATGGTATGAGTTCCGAGATTTAACCTGTTCATCAGGTAACCTAGGTTTTGCCCACAACGTGTCTCATGTTAGAGTGGTAATATTTTCTAAATTGACCTCCTGGTGTGGGTTTAGCACACCCTTTTATATTTTTATCTATCATAATTTTGTGGCAATTATGTTATTGGATCCATCTATTGTATATCTTTAATATTTAATGCTTGCAGGTCATGATGAAGAGAGCTCAGAGTGTTGCTCAGGTTGCATTGACACGCCCTACCCTACGCCTGCCCTCCTGGTCATGCATGGGTGCTCGTCATCGAGTGCAGGCTGCTCGTTCAGCATCACGGGAAGTAAACCCTGTCGAACCTTGCATTAGTACAACAGAAACTACTGAGCATCTTCTGTCATCTCAGGAATCGATAACTACAGTTGAAACCATAGAACTACCTATTTCCACGTCTCAAGGTATGGAATGGACTTCAGGACCTGAATCCTCTTGCTCAGATGAGATGAACGTGCACACCGTTGTGGAGACTGGGGAGGATGATGGTGATGCCCTCATGAGTCATGGTAGATGTGAGGGTCACATGGCTGAAGTTGAGTTATGGCAACAGATTGAGCAGGAAATTTACAGACGATCTGAAAGTGAAAATGGTAATGTGGCGAAGGAGATGAGGGAAGAGGAGGAAGCAGCCATTACTGAGGTGGGTGAAAACCTGCCTGACAGTTCAATGCCTAAAATGAAGGAAGCACACCGTTTTTTCCCTCCCGGAAAGATCATGCACATTGTCAGTTTCCTCCCTGAAGGGCCTCAGTGTGAAAATGGTGTTGCAAGAGACTCTAATACAGCCAATGTGGAGCCACCCGGGGACAATGTTAGGATTTTCCTCACTCCAAGGTCGCTGTACAGCAAACTAAGACTTTCACAAACCATGATCAGTGATCACTTTATGCCTGTATATAGGAAAAAGATAGAGCAGTTGATTTGTGATCTTGAGAAGGAAGAGGCTTCTAATGATGCTTATTGTGATAGGAAATCGGAGAGCTGGCCTTATAGGGAAAATGACAAAAGAGAATAGCTTCTGTACCAGCAAACTGAAAGGGCAATGGTGGAACCTTGGAAACTGAAACCTAGGTTGTTTAAACTGTTGTGCATAAAAGCCTCTATGTATATGGAGCTGAGATGTGATACAAAAAGATCCATGTTGATGAGCCCATCGGATGGCATTACGTGATATTGTTAGGGAGTATGAAATGAGAGGTTTGTGAGTGGGAAGTATTTGGAAATGATATATAATATATGTGATCTCTGTTAAAAAATTGAGGTCCCGAAAGTGGGGGTGGGGATCTTGATTTCTCCAATTTTTTTCTCAGTTGGAAATGTCTTTCTTCAATCCAACGATTCAACTATATGCTTATATTTTACCGAGAGATGTTAAGACTGTTAAGAGTTGTAAATTGTAATTGCCATTACTTCCTCCTGTTTTTCACATCTGCCGTTTTCCTTCAAAGTTTTCTGTACGCAATTCCTATCTTTGTGTCTTTAGCAGGCGAAATCCTTCTCTCTATAGGTTTCAACCTTTTCAACCATAATAAATTGTGAATCAAACCAGAGTTCTGTTTCAAGGAAGTTGAATCATTTCATGAAGATTTGTGACGGTAGACTATTGGAGAAAAGAATCAAAAGAGAGTTCTTATGCGAGAGGCAATCCCTAAAAAGTAACTACGATTAGTCCAGGTTGTACTCTTTGGCCATGTTTGATTCGCTGCCAGTGACCTCATTCTTTTAATTCTTGTTGATTCTGGAAAAGAATGAGCAATAATTAATGAGATATAGGTGTTTGGATATTCATTTCTTGCTGCAGAATTCATTCTTTCCAGAATGAAATTTGGGTCTCAGCAAAAATTTGGGGCACGAAAACTTTTTGTGCCCCATCGTATTAATTCTTTTTTTCGTTCGAACTCGAGTCCTCTCGATTTGAACTCACTGAACCCTCGTCCCTCTCTCTCTTCTATACAAGGTAAACCCTCGTCCCTCTCTCGGTTCTTTTTCTTATTGCTTTGCTGTTTTTTTTAAGTATAAATTATCGAATTATTTTCCTCATTGCTTTGTTGTTATCGAAGTATAAATCCGACAATCCGATTGAGGCATTTGATAAAGGCACCCAGATGATAGGTAGCATTTGAATTGAGGCCTCTGTTAAGCTTCGCCAACTGAAGGGAGAGACCCTACATATTATCCTGCTTGGCTCTGTTTGAGGATTAGAATTTGGGTTTTACCCATGCATCCATGGCTTAGTTAGTATGTAGGGGGCCACCCAATTGATATCTTGGTTGTATGGCTGTCGAAGTGTAGTTTATTTAATTATAAATACATATTTTGTGGATAATAAAGACAGTGAATGAGAAGCAGTGAGAAGGTTTCAGGTAGTTGTGTTGGTTTTTTCTTGTGTGTAGTGTAGGATGGATATGGAATTTATGGATCACGACAATTCCGTGAAGCAGAGGATCACTGAACCAGGGCCGAGCAGTCCCTACTCAAACCCTAAACCTAATACTTTGAACCCTCATTTGACAAATAACAGAAAGCTAGGCTAACCTTGCTGCACCATTAGCATGGGAACAACAGTCCTCGTCACCAAGGGAAAGAGATAGCCATAAGGAAATAAAGCTAAAAGATTGCTACTCTGCATCAAAGTTTATATAATAAAATTCTAGTTTGGAAAAAGAGAATGATCTCACCTTAATTAAATCCTACCACTCATCACTGTAATCAGTATGGAACCAGTATGTTTCTTATGAGCCAAGAATATAATACAAATTAATTGTACATAGGATGACTTTGCATAACCTGATGTAATACAGATTATATTTCTAATTTTTCCAAAAAGGATTATTAGATATTTATAAGCAAATTTTTAGTATTTGACCCCATCTTCAGCAGTAATACCGAAGACATCCTTCCAGCCCCCAACAGGTGCAGAAGTTAGTAGGGTGGGATAGGGGCCTAAGTCCTAACCCACCCAGGCTCTGCCTATGTAATATTTACCATAGGCCTAAACCTGTAAATGCCCAAAGGAAGCCAAGTGACTGCAGAACAGCTCTTTATTGGACCACCCGATTGTGTTAATTAAATTTTTTTTTAACTAAAAGATGTCCTTTTTACCTAAATGCAAGACTAACTTGGATTCCTAGGGATCTAAATCACATAGCAGATGGTTTAGCCAAATAGGGTGTATTTCTGGAAGAACTTTATAGTGATAGAATCCCTCCTCTGTAAGCTTTGGGGTTCTACCCCTGCCATTCTTGCTTAAATGAAATTTGGGGATACCTCTACTATTTAATAACTTTTACACTTTCAATCCTTGCAATGCTGCTAATACCTCCCTTATTGAGTCATGTGCTTGTAGCCAGCTGGTCCTGAAAATAACACTACTATGATGCCATGTGCATCTCTAAACAGTCCACCTATTCCTGAAGGGATTACCAATACAGCGACCATCAAACTTGAGCTTTATAATATGATCCCTACTAGGATTACATTGGACTCATCCCTGATTTCTTGCTGTTGAGAGGCCAGTCACCTATTACCAAGTATAGTGATATATTTTGGAGTTGCTGTTGCCATTCCCCTTTTGTTGGCTAGTGTGAGAAAACAGGTTTGAGTCTGACAGCGGCCATTTTGTGCAAAAAATGCCAAAGGTTAGGACTGAATCCAGTCTTCCCCTCTCAAGACCCAAGATAATTGGACCAACACTGGGTAAATCCCGATGTCTTATATAGAGAGATTCACCGTTTCCATGACTGTACATTGATACAGGCCAAAATACACGTCCATGGACCAATATGGACCAATAAATATTTTTATTCTGTGATAATATAATATATGTCCATCAATATGGACCAATATTCTGTGATAATATGATCTTGATATGGGTGATTGAAAGCCATTCAGATTACCTTCATTTGACTTGAAAACTTTTGGGAAAAGGCTTGGGAAGTTCCCAAATTTACCTGTTTTACTAAAAAAAAAAAAAAGCATTTAGCTTCCTTTCTAAAGACTTGTACTTGGTTTAAAAACATAATATAGTAAGTTGCAACAACCTAATCAAAGTGCTCTATATCTTATGTCCTATTAAACATCAAGATCCACTTGGAAGTTGGAATCTATCATCAGCTGCGCCCTATATATGTATTCACATTTCCCAGTAGGTTTTTGAAATTGAAAGTATGTTTTCACTTTTCAATGTATATCAATATTTTATATAACATTTAGTATTTATATTAATTTACACCATTTGAACTTTGTTGGTATACATCACATTAAACAAAGTAAAAAATAAAATGTCCAAAACATATGATTTATTTCAAGACAAATAAGTATGAATATAAATATAAACATTACTATAAATTGTATCCATATACATACAATGTATTTTTATGCATAAAATAAAATATTATATTTATACTTTGAAGCTTATCGAGGATTATGCCTCGCCTCTGCCATTTTCCTTTTAAAACTTTGCTTTTTCTTAATTCAATATTAGTGAAAATAGCCTCGTTTGTTTGCAACATTACTTTTTTATTTTCAAGGGAAACCCTATTTCTAGTAACGACCTACATTCTTCAAATATATCCTTATATTGAGTACTGAGTACTAATGCCATACGCACGATCACTAATCAATAAAAGTTCCCCAAGAATTTGATTGGCGTCAGGTAGGTACTAGAACTCTGCAGCTCTCTGTTTTGTGTTTTACGGACATAAGCCAGGTAGAGCGTAGATGATGATGATGCTGGCTGAGAGATTCTAAATCAACTTTAATTTGCCGATGAAGTTGGAGCTAAGACTACCCACGTAGAGTTGCTTTTCAAACTCCATCGCCGAAGTGACGAAGGACATAACCTCTCCACTCGAATCGTCCAACATCTTGATCACGTTACCGTCGATTCCCACATTCATCACTGTCGCTTTTCTCATGATACTGGCGATTATGTTGCTTTTCAGCTTCGGAAAATTTGCCACGAAGCGTTTGGCTAGTTTCGACTTGTTGATCAACTCTAACACCGGATTATTCCTTAACTGCCAAAAAATAACAAAAAAAAAAATCATAGTTTCAGAAAAAAAAAAATACAACCATGAAAGCTCGTCTATGTCTTTCATGGCTCCCCGGCCTTCACCACCCCTGGCTCCGTCCTGTGTCTACCAGATATAGACAGATGGCCATCGAGGCGCCAACGCTATAAGAAGTAATACTAATGCCATTGTCTTGCTGGTTTTTCGAGTTGTTGTCTAAGAGACAGAACAAGCTGATGATGATGCTGTATTTGGGGCCTGATGGCAGAGACATCAAAATATTAGGAGCCGGCCTAATCAGCATAGCCAGAAATCTTTGGACCATCTGATCAATGCATCATTTTTAGAGCTTCCACTGTTTTAACTGGACATTTGAAAAGCTGTTCGATCAAGCCCCAGCTTTAAAATCAGATATTTAGATAAAGTTATAGGCTGATTTTCGTCCCAATTAATCCAGAAGGTGGGTTCCATTGAATGGTAACTAGAACAGATTGTGGGTCTCCAGCTCCAGATTAGTTACTGATTGTGGTTGTGGGTTCCATCTTTGCTCTCATTAGTTCAAAGAAAAAGATGGACGGAGTGAGGTGAGTGACCAGTCCACGATCAATTTATTTGGAAATATAAAACAATTAATTTAATAGAAATAAATACCTCGAGCACGGCAATCCAAAAAGATCCATCTGGTGCAAGATTAATATTATCAGGTCCTCCCGGAAGTTTGTCGACAAAAATCTCCGTCTTCCCTTTCATCTCCCCCTTTAACCAATGTTTCAGACACCGGAATCTGACCCATTATCCATGCATGAAGAAAAAGTAGTCATCAATAAAATCTAGCAAAAGAAGGTATATGTATGTATATATAATTCTTTTAACCCGATATGTGGTCTAACACCATTTCACATGTTTAACTTTAACACGACCATTATCATTGATTGACTCTCCCTTACTTCCATGTCTCGCAAACTACTAAGAAGTCTTGGTCTTTTGAGAGAGCGACGCCATTGGCAAATCTTAGATTGTCGAGCACTATCGTTGTCTCCTTGGTGGAGGGATCGTATTTGAGAAGTCGGCCGTGGGGTTTGGCTTCCAGCAAATCGAGATGCCATACATCAAATCCGAATTTTGTGCTTGCATCGCTGAAGTACACGGTGCCGTCTGATGATTCGATTACATCGTCTACAAACCTGTAACACATCTTATCTAATTTTAGAAATGCAAGATGTGTTTAGATTTTGAGTTGAGATCTGTTAAAACAAGATGTTGTTATCTGTCTACACAAGATGTTTCAACAAAGACCAGATCAGGTAGTGTTGAATTTCATCTGATGATGATCCAGGCTGTGATATTCAGCAGATATATATGGAATACAATAGGCATAAGTTATGAACTTCTGACATCGTTACCTTATTTTTGAACCATTAACATGCGAAGCAAGTATTGCCACGCCGTCTTCACCAACCCTCAGCAACCCCTGTGAATAGTGATGCATATATAGTAATATCTTAAACAGTTAGTTAATTAGAGGAAGAGCTCTACTTATGAAAAAAAGTTATGTGGGTTTCCTTCTTTTCTTTATTCAACATAGTATCAGAGTTTGTTTGATTAAAGGATTTTATATTCAATGATATGTTATCAGAACTTATTTAATTAAGCAGTTTAGTATTTGATCTTCATCCAATTATTCTCATTGTATTTAATCAAATTACAACGGAACTCGTTTCATTCATGGACTTTGTGAGAAGAGGCATGCTATAGAATGAAAATCTATTCAGAGACCTCACCTAATGATGGCTTAAATTAATTAAGGACAGTTGTTATAGAAAATCCCCACCTTATCAGCGTCGCAAAGGAGAATATGACCAGTTGAAGAAGTGGCAACACCGAGCAAAGAGTGGCCGCCAATGAACTTCCAGTTTTCCCAGGAACCATTTCTGTGCAGTTTTTTAACCCAACCGTCCCTGGTAGCTGTATAGATGGTACCTTCTTTATCCACACATATATCTTCTGGCCCTTCTACATATCCTTCTCCAACTTTAACAATTCTCTGAGAAACAAACTAAGTTGCTCATGAGATATATTATTGGGCAATCATATACAAAGCTAGTTGGTGAAAAAAAAAGAATGGTTAGTGATCAGTGGTACAGACCTGTAACACATTGTTGGAAGGGAAATTGATGAACTCCGACCCAAGAGGAGGAAACCCGAGAGGTTCAGGAGAAATGGGTGAGAAGAAGAAAATTTTAACTAGAAAAGCAAGTAAGCAAGCCAAAAGAAAGCTTCTAGTTCTAGAAGCCGATAAGAAAGCTTCTAGTTGACGCGCTGCAGGTGGGGTAGGCATCGTCATAGATCTCAGTATCTCATCATCATCATCACCACCACCACCACCACAACCAGCACTCACCACTCTCCACAACAACAACAAGAAGCTAGTTGTGGAAATTAACTTTACTTTGGCTGTTGCGAACGTTAAAGAGCATGATATTAGGGCCCAAAAGTTGCCCTTACGCCTACAATCCAAAAAAAAAAGAATCAAATGAATTGACGTGTCATATTCAAAGACAACAAAAAAAGTTCGTTTTCAACAGCCAAAGAAATACTCTCGTCCAAAATATATTGTCATGACACATTTTCTTGTGTATACGATAGGGGCTGGTGGTGAAAAAGTGAAAATGAATCGGGGATCCTATGCCATGCATTTAGGATTAGAAGTGGAGTGAAACAAGAATTGTGAGGATGCAAGTGTTTTGATTTTTGTTTTAGTTTATTTTCTTGGAAGGAAAATAGACTCGATGTGAACTGACAAGTGACGAGGGCATCAAGTGATGGACAAAAACGAAGGCGACAAAGTTAAGAAAGAAAAATCAGCTAGCGTCTTAGTATGTGTTTGGTTTCTTTTAGTGTTTTTCATTTAAAATTTGTATTATATTTAATGGTAAAACTAAAAAAGGTAATAATTATAAGCATTTATGACAAATAGGCTCTACATCAGCTTAATAGTGAAAAAACGTCTGACCATTTGTGGAAGCTTTAAAAAATAACTTCCACAAACGGTTGACGTGCACAAAAACCTAAGTCCACTTTTATCATTCTTGATGCATTAGGAAGAGTAAGAGAGAGAAACTACTGAAGTGGCACCTATGTGGCAGCGTTTATTGAACAAATGCCAACAAAACTAAACACCCTATTAATGGTGTTAAAACCGTGTATGATATGTTCTACTGTGGCCCAATCTTTAATATCTTGTCATGTGGGTTAGATGTTTGTATAAATAATGGGTTACTTAATCAATAACAAGTGAATTGCATGTGAATATACCATTGCTTCCTGACCATTGACTACAATCATGTTTGTAGGGAGGCCAAGGCTGCATCCTACATTTAGCATTTTTTATTTTAAGGATTTATCTCTTTTTTGCAATTAAAATGTCATTATGAAAATTGAGTTTTTAATTAACTTATGTTAGACAAATCCGTGCATATATCATTCCAATAGTCTTTTGTAACCTTGCATTGGGAATATCCCTCCATAAAATAAAACACAAAAGTATGGAGATATTCTCGATGCAAGGCATTAAAAGCTGCTTGAATGGGCTTTGCCCTGACCAATAAGTCCTTAAAATAAGAAATGCCAAATGCACCCTAAAACTACAGCTGATTGGTTTGCAAACAAGAATAACTCTTGTGCGCAGAGACAAGTTGTAATAGGCCGGCCTATATTTGCTAAGAGCATGCTTGGGGTAGATTTCCCCTCTTGGGGAATGATTCTTCCTAAACTATCAAAAAAGAAAAAAAAAAATTGTTTTGTATACATGGGACCCACACACTAGTTATGGATCAGGATGAATTGGAAATAAAATCATGCGCACCGGTTGGATTACCTATCATGCATTATTCACTGCAGCCCCATCTGGCCCCATTTGTATTGAACACTGATGAATTAGGTATGCATGATTTTGTTTCCAGCCAATTCGGACTTTGGACTCATGTGTATCACACACCCACATACTTAGTGGGTCCTATAAAATACATATTTAGTGCATTGAAAACAACTCCTATATATAATATTATCATTCACGGGAAGATGTTTTCAATATATGGTTGTGATGCACTGTAAAGATGGTGTGAGGCATGCTCTGTGAGAAGATTCGAACTCAAAAAACATTCACGGGAAGATGTTTCCAATATATGGCTTTGATGCACTGTAAAGATGGTGTGAGGCATGTTCTGTGAGGAGCAGATTCGAACTCAAAATCTGGCTTGTTCACTTGTAATTGGTTACTGGACTGTTAAGACAGTAGTGCAACCAGTAAATTGACACCTTCAAGTTGATAGGGGTATATTTTTGTCTTTGTACTGGTTTAAAAAGGGAAGGGTTATTTTGGTATATTAATTTTATTAAATGATGGTGGATATTAATTCATGAATTCCACTATACTACTATAAAAAAAATTATAGTGGTATTCAATAAAATTCATGAAGGGGGTGGGGCTTGCATAATAGATTTATCCTGAATTTACATATGTTAAGGGGGTGTTCGATAACATAGTATTGTTTTTAAAACAAAAAAGGATTGCCGTATCAACAAAAACAATATAATTTTACTGATGTGATAGTTATTTATTTATTTATTTTTTTTCAAAAACAAAATCATGTTGTTGAATACCCCTAAGTATTTGTGTAACACTGAAATGTAAGTACGCATTCAACTTCCATCATTATCACCATTAGAATCATTGTTTTGTTTTGTTTTTTTGTCCAAAGATCATGATAAACATTTTGATAAGTCCTGAAAAAATAAGGAAATTTCAGGAGCTTTTCTAGTATATGGAATGTTTGAGGTGTACTTTTAAAAAGGAAATTTCCCGATTTGTACCCTTTACTTTGGGTCTAGTGTCACTTTGGTCCCTGAACTTTAAAATGTGATAATTCAATACCCAAACTTTTAAAACATGACAATCTAGTACCTACTCTTATTAGTTGTTAACCAGCTGTTAAGTAGCATTTGAAAAAAACATAAATGTCCTTGAGTGTCATCTAATTTTCTTTATCAACCATCCAAACATTGATAAAAAATTAACAGTCTCAAATCCTTGCCTATACTAATCTATCCTAATCGGGAATTTTCCATTAACAGTCCTGTCACACGTGGACGGGCATTGTTATCCTTTCACTGGTTTAAAAGGGTTGTTATTTAAGTCTGTTAACTTTAACAAGCGACGATTCATCGATACTACAGAATGTGTTGCACCGAACAGCCATGTGCATCCTACTTTTCTCATTTTAATTGTAGTAAAAAAAGCTTTGACCATTGAGCCATTGGCCGACGGTGCTAGCCTATACGCATTAAGACTAGGAATTTTGCAGTTTGGACCAGCAGCTCAGCGCAAGATGGTTCCACTATATATCTAGCAAGTAGCAACTATAATTTATGTTCTTTTTTCTTTTTTATATTTAAACTTCAAAAGATTGAAAACAAATTACCTTTTTTTTCCTGCACAAACCATCTGAATCAAACAGATGAACGATTGCCTCCTTGTCCTGTTGAAACAGGCATGAGACCAAAGTTAAAAAGAGGCATAAATGAAAATTAAGAGGACCAAAATTTCCATTATGTATCTACGAATTTGGGATCAAGATTTCTATTGTTACACAGATTCCCAGACTAGATGAAATGTACATCACTTTCTGTTACAGATGAGGGGTAAAAAGGAATTTAATCAAAAATAAAATTACGATACAAGAACACGTGAAAAAATAACAGTGACGAAATCTGGTGAAGCCCCCTTTTAAAACTTGCAAAATGTGACACCTTGTTACCTGTTAAACCCTAATGATACATGTACTCTTTTTTTTCCTTTTCTTCCTTTATCCCTTTTTTTTTCTCTTTTCAGGCCTTGATATCCCTATCTCTCTTCTAGTTCCTCAAGTATACACATACAATTGGTAATGATGGTTTGTTGGATCCTGACTATGTCAAAAACTCCTATACCTTAAAAAGTGTGTCACGTATCTGAATCAATATATCACAACCCGCAGCAGCCCTGGCTGTGGCTGAGTACAATCGAGGCGCTCCTCTTCAAGCAGATACTGCTCCACAGCAACTGGCAGCTTAGCTGGAGTTCGGGAACCCTTGGTGTGGTGGCCTGTACCAACACTAATATATACCTGCAGGCGCTGCTGGGAAGATTTGGCTAAGGTCCTTAAGATGTTTAGCTCATGCTTCAGCATACGAATAGCTTCATTGACATTAAGTCCATGAAGGTCTATCAATTGCTCTTGTCCCCTTCCATAGCCCTGCAGCTCCGGAGCAATTGGGTTCCTGCAGAACAGTTAACCAGCACAACCATCATACTTAAAGGTTCCGGTAGTACACATAAACAACTTCATTTATCTAGTGCACCCAACAAGAATGCAGAAACTTCTAGATTTCAATATCATACAAAAACACCATCATATTCAAAAGCCTACAGCATGTTCATTATTTTGCCCCTTATCAAGAATATGTAAACAGTAAACCTACAACGGCATTATGTTCCATAGGAATGTGTGTGTGTGAAAATGGAATGATATGCTCAAAGATTAATTTACAAAAGCTAACCATTTCAAGACAGTATAAAGTAAAAATTAATGCATTTGAGATTGTCACCTGAAATTCCTTTTTTATGGTAATGTAATGAATTGACAAATCAGCCCAAATTTAATATGGAACAATGAAGAAATACTGGCAAGAAAGGAATAAAATACTGACATAGCGACAGGTATAAAACAAGGGAACATTCCATTCATATGATACATGATGTTGGCCCTTTCTACAATAATTCAGTTACTGTAGTATTATCAAGAAATTTGGTATCAGATGGATGCCAAACCACTGGACCATCACCCAGGTTCTAACATTAAGAACAATATCTGGCTCATAATGTGGAAGAACAGATCATAAAAGACTAATGCCATGGAAGCTCGTCCTTTATGTGGATAGCTGTGTTTGACCCTTAGGTTAGAAATTGTTGGATGGGAACTTTATCTTCATTCATCACAAAAAAGAAGACACACTCCCACAGAAAAAACAGAACTGTAAGCCCATGTACAAACACAGTTATGGACGCCATAACTACCCAACATTATATATTTGTTTGACATTGTTCCAACCTGAATTTTACTAGAATTAGGACATTTACATTTTTTATTAAGCAATTTCCTTTCATCCTTTTCAGTTTCACTATGTATTATTTTCAAGTAAGAACTGAGCAGATTCATATACACACACATACATGCATGCATGTGTCCATGATAGAAAGAATAAAATATGGTTTAAAAGATTAAATAATAAGATACTAATGCACACCCAGCAAACAGAAAGCCTTTTTTTTCACTCACAAAAAAACCGAAAAATTCTCTGATTATAACAGAATCTTGCAAATTAACTTGTTAGGAACACACAAACCTCTGATGATAAATTGATGATTCCTGAGCTTTCCCATGAGCAGCTTTCATATGCATGTTATTATGCAGCTGTCCTTTCACTAGAGCCTTGTTGCCTATGAGATGTGCTTGCCGTGCCTGTTATATAGGGCATCCTTCATTAGGATAAACATAATGCATCCGAGAGGCCAGGATATTAATAATGAAGAGAATGTAAAGAGTAATCTCAAATCAGCAAATGGTACTTTTGAAATTGCACTTCAGAAGCTACTGCATACAGCATTAAAAGCAGTAAGCATCATCCCTATCCTCAACAATTGGTCAAAAAGATGCCCACCCTGCATGTATTGAACCAAATGATGGCAATAGGGCTGCCAACTAGACTAAAACAGTGCTACTGCAGCATATCACTGGATGGTTTTCCTCTGGCTCCATGTTCAAAAGCTTGAATGATTGACTCAAGTAATCGCATTGAATTGGTGCAGCAGAGATTGAATGACAAAGTATGAACATTGTTTTTACAAGAAAAGAAAACATTGATTAGAATGAAGGAACATGTCAACTGAAAAGGGGCATGAATTCAATTGACTAGGGTGAAACCGGAACTTAGAGAAGGGGCATGTAATTAAGTATAAATTGCACTTCTATAATAGTTGAAACTCCAATGATCACATAAATAATCCTTCAGATGAATCAAGAATAACATTTTTAGGTGGTAACCAAATCCAATCAACTTGAAAAGAACCTATCTTTGCTCAAAACTGACTTAAAAGCCAAACAACTTTGTGGGACTTCCCCAGACAGATATTTCAGGTAGGAGTTTCCTCCATTGATAAAAATCTAGGGCTCCCAATGGATCAGATTTAATCCAAGTTGAATTTGAACAAGATTCATTTAAGTTGGAATCAGATATCCATTTAACCATGATTGGATCAAATTAGATTTGAAAGTCTGGTCTGTTTACTAATTAGATCGAATGCAGGTATCATTTGATTTGACCCACTAAGATCCAATCCAATATATGACCCTTTTTAGAACTTTAATTTTAACTTCTTTAGGATTAAGTGGGATTTGAGATTTATAGAGATATATTTTTATCTATTTATTTTGTATTTTGAATGCCACAAAATATTTTTATATATTTTGTATTTTGCAGCAAAAAAACACTCGTTTTATATTTAACTTTGTGGCATTGCACTAGTTTTATAGAGATTTGTTTAGCTTCAAAATGAATCAGAAGTAAATGGGATAACCAAATATTAGTGGTGCAACTTTGACTGGATTATACTGAAACCAACCTGGAAAAAGTCAGGTTGGACTGGATTAGATTTGGGTTGAGGAATTGAGTAACCCAATCCAACCCAAACCCGAGATATCTTCATATTTTTTTTTGATAATATGTATAAACATTATATACATATTCGTGTATATATATATAGATATATGCAAATATGCATGCAAAAATTATTTATCTATGTATATGTATCAACAATTTTAAGTTTAAAAGCAAAAACTTTCTATGGTAACCCAAGTATAGTACTACTAAAGCACCATAACTTTGTCCCTGTACATATAATAATGTTGAAGCCAGCTAAAACAAATCTACTAATTTTAAGTCTAAGAGATAAAAACATTTTTAACATAAAGAAGTCAAGAAATTAGGCTAGCCCAATCCCATTCCAACTTGAAGTCATAAAGGTTGGGTTAGAGTTGGACCTCAAGCTGACTAACCTGGTCCAACTTGCACCCCTACCACATATCAGTTTGCAATGCTCCACTTTGCTATTTCACTACTAAGATGTATTTGTTAGTATTTCTTTTTCCAACCATTAACTAATTAATGCATATGCTTGGTTTTCTATTTATATAAATTACTTCATTACCTGTTAAAAAATCATGTGTCAATTGACTCAATTCACAGCTTACTAGCACATGATTCTTATAGCATGATACCAATGTCTTTGAATGCATATCTCATAAATATCCGTCTCAAGTCTAAAAACAGTGAATTGTCTATCTGAATGTATATGACCTAATTCCTATGAACCTGGATAACACTTGTCGTCATTGATCATTCTACTATCTTCAAAAGAATCAGTTAAAGGGTTTCTCCTCAACCACTGCATCTAAAAAGGGACTCTGTTTCCAATGCCAGCATGTATATGCAGGTTTTTGACATTATTACAAATTCAGAGAATCTACCCAGAAGTGGACAGCCTCTACTATAGCAAATACGCAGAGGAACTTTCAAGTCTCAGTACCTGTTCAAAGCATGCATTTTGAAGGCGTGCATGATCACGGGCTTCCCCCCTCAGCTCCGAATACATATTTTCTGCCATCTCAACATTGTTAAAGCAGATAAAAATGTTGAAAGGGGAAATATCCCCATCAAACATGTAATGAAATAACTAATTGAGGAATATTACCCACTGCCTCTCCAGTCTCAAGCCAAATGGGAGATGTCTGAACTGTACCATGATTTTGCATCTTAGCACCATAAATGGATCTCCCATGCCCTCCACTGTAGGAGCTTGATAAGATAGAACTTTTACTGGAGCCAGCACTAGCATCTGTAGAACCATTTCCCTCATACTTCCATTGACCAAACTCCTGAGATGCCAGTTTTCTGATGGCTGAGGCGAAATCTATAGCACCCCTAGATGGAGAAGAATAGTTGGACTTGAAGAAAAGGATACCATCCTCACCAGATGATTGTAGTGGATTGGAAGTTTGTTGAATGTCTCCTCCAGAATACTTCAATGGTCCATTTTGACCATCTGTTGCCGAAAGCACAGGGAAGTCCAGCACACTCAAGTTTTGAGATAAGAGGGTCTTGGAACTAAGATTCTGATTCAAGTCATTGTCTACTTGAAACTACAATAGCAAATGAAATGTATTTAGCAAGGATCAAAGCTTCAATGGACTATATGGCTATTAAGGAAGATAAAGCAGAAAATTTTTGCAGAATTTTCTATAGTTGTCAAGGCGACACCTAGGTGGACACCTAGGCGTAATCGCCAAGAAGTTTTCTATAGTGTGTTATAAAAAACCTTTATATTCTTAATTTTTGAGGTTATAATTATAAAATAGACATTTTTAAACTAAAATATTCATTTTGTGTGTTTATATATCAACATAAACATTGCTAAATGCTGTATTGAACCCTCAAAGGCTTCAAAACCAGAATCAATAAGGAAGAACATAAAATGTTGTCCAATCAACACATTTTCTTCTTTTCTTCTTTTCTTCTTTTCCTATAACAGAAATAGGGGTTCAGCCCCTATATTTTTTTAATTTTCTTTTATTTCTTCTTTTTCTTCTCATGAATATGTTGGAATATGTTGATTTTTTATACTTTAACATTAAGTTTATACTTGTGAAAATTATGGATATTTATTAAGGAAATATGATTATGGAACCTAGGGAAATACCCTAGGATACATGTTTTTACTTAAAAAGATCCATCGCCTAGGCGACAAGGCACCCCCCTGTCACCTAGCCTCGCCTTGGCGCCTCGAAAACTATGATCTAGTCTGTCCCCAACATTGAGTTTGTACCAATTTCATGAAACAATGCAACAGATGGACCTATCTCCAAGCTAGTTAACCTAATTGGGTCCATCAGATACAATTTTTGAATAACCACATGAGGGTGGTAATATACATTCATGTATATCTGACTTCTGGCTACTCTCACATAAATGACTTAATAAGAAACATAAAAATAAAAGAACATTTATGTGCATGCACTTATTATTACAAATTTAAAACCAAATCTCCTCGTTGTAGCAAAAATAATGGAGAAGTTTAGAGGAAAAAGCAAGGGATAGGACATGTAGCCACATATTCAACCTTGAAAATCATAACATCAAAGAAAAATTACTAATTATCCATGGTTCAAAAAGGCTCCAAGTACTCAGAAGCCTAAGCCTCGGCAGGACATACATATTGTGGCCTATGCCTTGCCTCATCTTGTCAAGGAATTGAACTTTGTACCAAGACATGAAGCAATACTGATACACAGGCCTCATTCAGGGACAGGGAACATATAAAATCCTTATTAATGATTAATGAATAACTAAAGCCATACCATTTGTTATTGTTTACTCATTTTTTTATCAGTAAAAGGCAACAGATTTTATTAATTGGTTTAAAGAATGAACCATGCTGAACATTTCTTCTCTTTAATTCTGTCTTCATTCTTTAAGCATGACTGTGATGTCAAACCAATAGTCCTTCAGACTGTTAAGAATTGAGATAGCACTTCAATGTAAGCTGTGAGGTATATATTTGATCCTTTAACAATGCTTTTCTGAACCAGGACTTTTCTAAATAACCCATTGCTAGGAAGCCTATGGAACTAGCCTAGGATTTAGATCCCCTACCACCACACACACAAACATAAAAGAAAATAAAAGAAAAAGAAAGAAAAACCCCTCACTTAGATGACACTTAGGCATAGGAATGGCAATGGGGCGGGTTAAGGTTAGGGAATATATTATCCTCATTGGGGATAAAAACAACCCTCCATCCCTTATCCCTGACAGAGACAGGTTCCCTGTTGAGGACCTGAATCCCCAGAATTTTTAAATAAAATTATTTTAAAAATAGATTTTACTTAAAATAAGAGATGTTTTAAATAAAAAATATTTTAAATATATTTCAATATAAATAATATTATATATGTACATATTTAATATATAATTGGGGTCAGGCAGGACAGGGAATTCACTGCCCAGCCCCATCCCTGCCTAGTTCCACCCCTACCAAGGCAATCTCCACCCCTAACCCCATTGGGTTGGGGAAGTTAGCACCTGACAAGAATGGGGAAAATTGCCATCTCTACTTAGGCAACTCCTCGTTGCCTAGCCTAGCATCTCCTTGGTGCATTGACAACTATGATATTCAGAATCTCAGAAGACTCAGAACCCATAATTGGGTGGTTCCCACCTAAGAAAGGGCCTAAACCTATCCTTATATGGGAGAGATGGAAAATTATGGGGCCCCAGATGGGTAATGGGTCTTCAGAATGTAGCATGTAATTCCTTAAGTGTCTAGACATTCCAAGAGAGAAGCATGCATCCTTGCCTTGATAAAGGATAGGCCAGGTAGGAAGAAATCAGCATACCTCAAGTTGAGTGAGCATCTCAATGGTCAGATTCAAATCATATCCATTTGCACAATAGACTTCTGCAAGGCTTTCAGCAGCAAAACCAGGGAACTGGGAAGCCAAATACTCCACAGGGTTTATGTTGGTATCATCCAAAACCAATTGCTCACCTAACATATCATTTACAAATCCAGGGCCAGAATTTCCATTGTAGGGAAAACCCTCCCCTTCACTGCTGACATGCTGATCACCATTCATAAACTGCTTGTGCCAAATATCAGTTGGTAGATTCATGAAAGCAGCTGAAGACCGATTTTCTCTATAAGATGGAACTGAAAATCTCATCTTCTCAATCATGACATCACCATCAATGCCATGAGAAGATAATTCTTGTTGCTTGCTCAATATCCGTCCATTGCCCATAGATGCAGAAAACCTTGAAGCATCCCCAGCATCATCTAAGGACAAACCTGCAAGCGAGAGGCTCCGGGGTCCTTGTAAATCATCTGCGCCCATGAACTTAAAGTCAGGAGTGATATCATCAGGGAGCTGGTGGCGCCAATACCGGTGGGCCTCGTCATCAGAATTATTTGATACATTAGATTCTGACCGATCTAGTGCTGCTTTTCCAGATGTTCCAGAACCAACTAGCCCCGATGTGACACCTGAAATGCTGGTGGTTCCAGATGAGGTTCTAAGGGCGCAAGGAATGAACTCTGCTGCATTTGGATTCAAAGTTGTCTTCTTACTTGGAGAATTCAGCTTTGGGTCGTTGTTTGAGATACCCTTTCTGGACAAGCTCATCATTACTTGAAACAAATAAAATGACACAGTACATGTAAAAGACTAGAAAAAGGAAAATGAAATTTTGAGCGAGTATCACCCAAACCCTGCAAGACAAGAATTGAAGAATAAAATACATCAAACCGGCAGAGGAGGCAAATAGAAGGAAAAGTAGACTCCAAAATTCCATACTTAAGAATGTCATGTGCAAACGAGCAAACAATAAAGGGAGGTCTAATTCATAGGGAAATCTCCATACCTTTAGTGTCTACCTTATAAGTTTGCACACTACTAGGTTTTTGAAATAAATAGATAAAATATACAACCAACAATAGGAGACAGATATCAAAGGGATAATTAATGGAACTGCAAAGAACCACATATAAACAACGACACTGACCTGAACAGAAAATGGAAGTTTGTTTAAATATATAGAGTTCATGACATGACATATATAGAAACGAAAAATGATATGTAAATCGTTGATAAGAAGAAATAAGGTAACACGAAAATGTAAAAAGAAGCAACGGAAACATCCAAGGCAGTAGAACACTGAATTTTAGACGCATCAAAGCTTAATAAGACCAAATTGACAAAACAATAATATCGACATGGACAACATAAAACTTTATCAATTTTCACCAACAAAACAAATGAACAAAAGCATTTGCAACCTTCTCGCAAACCCAAAACGAAAAACCCTAGTTATGGCATCAATATCAGATATAAAGCCGTTCGTTTTATTGGCATCCCTTAAACTACTCCAGCAAACAGCAGGCATCAAAGCTAAGATATAAGAAAAGAAAGACCCATATTACAATAGTTCGATCTTATAAGAATTTAGCTTCGGAAGATCCCAGCAAAGAAAAGACAAGAGAAAAACCAAGAGAATAGAAAAATTACAACCGAAATAGGAAGAACCAAAACCACTACAGAAATTAAAGTCAAATAGATATTTGAAGATCTCAATAACGGGTTAGCTTCTTTATACCTTTACGAGTGTCGAGGAGAGGGGAAATCGAATCAAATCTATTCATCGAAAAAGGCAAGGGGGAGAGAGGGGAGAGAGAGGATGAGCAGGGAAATAAAGAGAGAGAAATAAATGTTCGCAGATAAAGGGTGAGAGAGAGAGAAAGAGAGGAGAAGGGCTACTTCGTATCTCGTCTTCCGAACTTGGTCTGTTATTTCAAGCTTCTCTCTGGTTTATTTTGGTCTTCCTTTCGAAACCCTCTTCCCGACTACCACCACCACCACAAAAAGAAGCTCCATATGAAACCACCCTTCGCCACTCGATTAGATGACTCCTCCCTCTCTCTCTCTCCTCTCTCTCTCTTCTTCTTCTTCTTCTTCTCTTTCCGTCTCTGTCCCTCTTGACCCTCAAATAAACCAGCATCTTTTATTTATCTTTAATCAATTACCCTCTTCTTTCGTGAAATTTCCAAAAACGAGTTTTATTAGAAAGAGCACTCGCACAAGAGCTCTGTAGTCTGTACGACACTCGATGGATGGATTTACGCGGTAAACAATGATACAGTGCCACTGCATCAGCATTGATCTATGCAATATGCCCATCGTTTAGTAGGAAGATTCCATTATTTAGCATCTAGACCCACCCTCAGTCATATCTGACGATTAGAGATTGCTTTTCTGCAATCTGCACCAGTGCTCTACTTGATCGTGAACTCCACGTGGCAAGATATAATAGAAAGAGAAAGAGAGAGAGAGAGAGAGCGCTTTTTGTGCGAAAAAAGCATGCACTAACCTTGTTTGGAGTGTCCGTATCAGGACCGTATTCGCAAATCCAAAAAGGTCACTTCCATTGATTTTCCAGCTGGCTCTCTGGTCCGGTCTCTCTTGCTTGTATTGTAATAAGACTGCTATCAAGTATCAACCGGCAGGCGAGCCGCTGGATTAGCATCCAACAAAATATTAATTTGTTTGCTGAAGGAAAATAATAGGTGTACCTCAACCGTCGGATTTGTGGAAGGATAAGGAATATTCTTTAACGGTCTTCTAAGTTCTAACGTTATCTCGTTTGTATCCGAATCCTAAGGTCCAGAAGTGACTACACGTGGGCAGCGCTTATTCAACCGTTTTTCTACTTCTCCAATCTCTGGACACGTCGGCGAGTGCGAGGTTAATTGAAATTTGAAAACTCGCCGCTCACCAGGGCCCACACATGATGGAGGGCTCTGAATCATTCGATTGGTATCAGGTTGGAAACAAATGCCTGTGAAAGGTGGGTCGTGACTTTTATGCGTGGTATGATGACAAAAATAAACCCTTCCCTCCATAAGGGCGTCCACATTGAATCAAGATCCTGCGCTAGTATCAAGCCCAAATAGGAGAAAAGTTATCAGGCCCATGCCAATTGCCAAACCATGGGTCTTTGCAATGGCTTTAGCTTTCAGTTACACAACAATCATTTTTCCATAAATTCTCAAATGCCCACAATTCAGTGATTCTTCACTGGTTCACTGTCTCTCAAAGCAATAAATAAATAAATAAATAAAATTCACTAAATTCAGCACCATTGTGCAGATTATTTTATAACGAGTGAAGTGACTGAACTAAATCACTTGTTGCATTGCCTTAATGACTGTAACTGATAACACAGCCTCTGGATCCACCAAGAAGTAGAAGATGCAGGTACCCTTCCAGCGAGAGGAACAAGAGACGCTGAATGGTGGGCCATTTTCATTGTTCTCCAACGCTCTGAGTGCAACGAGTGGTAAGAATTAATCATGGATCAGGATTCATCTGGGCTCAGAACAAACTTCAAGGAGTAGCTTAGATTAGACAGCGCTTGGCCCAATCCTCCAAGAATGAAATAGAGGCCCAGGCCAGGCATCGAGGCCTATGTACACTAAACATAAACATATTTTACCGTATATATGACAGACCAATCACTTGAATCGGGATTAGATTAGATAAACGCTTTAGCCCTATAGCAGACTGCGGGTATGGAGATATTCCTAATATACGGTGTAAAAGGCTGTACCAACGGTATGAGCACTGAAACCAATCTCACCAGTGATAAAATACATAGAACCCACACTATGAAATTGAACTGTTGTGGCTCTCATGTATTTTATGACTGATGTAGAGTATTATAATTGGTTCCACAGCCTGCTAAATAACTATTGCATTCAGTTAATTGTATCTGGATTAATTTAGGTCCAATGTAAATATCGAAGCAGCACATAAAATGTGCACTTAGGTGCCAACTAGTTGGTTGGTAACTTAGAAAGGCCTCTTGCTGGTTGTTAGCGGAGGGAATCCCGCCTGCACCTGGATTGGGGTATTGATCCGATGGGTCACGCGGTTACGCCCATTGAATGTTGAGGTTGTTCACTTAGGCTGAGCAGGGCGTGGAGCGTATATTATGTGTGTACGTTCATACGTGTATGCATAGTATAACTCTTCCTTAGGTTGCATGTTGTGTTGCCTAACTTAAAGAATTTCGACTACATCGGCCTTGGGTTTAGGGTTTCAGCCCATCCCAACCCGACCCAAGTTGCACCCTAAGGCTAACTCTTCCTGTAAGCATTCCTGCAATTGTTTTTACCTTCAACTTCCTTTACTATTAGATGCAATTTGTTCAGTTGGTAAGATCTTAATTCCCGCCTTTTAACAGGGTTGAGGGGGTTATGGGGTTTGGGAGATAGGGTAGGCCCATGAAAATAAACAATAAAAAAAAATCCCTTTACTAAATCATGCCTCAAGGTTACATTACATGAACCGTGACGGAATAAGTTGGGCCCAAGGTTACCATGAGGGCCAAAATTGGCCCAGGACCGTGTTGTGTACAAATTATAAGAGTTGAAGTTCGGGTGCATATTGCAACCTGGGTCGGGTATAGGCCCAATTTTTAGAGCCCATTTTCAAACGGGCAGGGGAATGACCCAGAATGGCTCGGAGCAACTTGAGACAGAGCAGCATCCACATCTTTGACCCAAGCAGACCAAATATTCCCCAGTTCACCAGTTGGGTCTTGTCCTATGAATGACAACTTGGTGGTTTTCAGTTCAGCTGGATTAAGGCTTCAAGTGATGAATTCAGATCTACGCTCCACAAGGGGGAGCCCCACAACGTCCCACAGCACATCCCTGTTGTGTATTGGAAGCATTTCCCGATGATGATATTATCGGTTCTGATACTATCATTAGGAGATATTCCCAATACATAGCGGCGATGTACTGTAGGACGCTCTCTTGTGGGGCGCAGATGTGAATTCTCAAGTGATTGGGCAGGGCACCATCAAACCCGAATTACATTGATTCATATTCCCGATGATGATATCATCAGTTCTGATATTATCATTAGGAGATGTTCCCAATACATAGCGGCAATGTACTGTGAGACGCCCTCTTGTGGGGCACAGATGTGAATTCTCAAGTGATTGGGCAGGGAACCATCAAACCCGGATTACATTGATTCATATTGATAGATGAGTTAAAATCTGCACCCCACAATGGAGCGCCCTACAACGTTTCACAGCACCTCCTGCCTTGTCTTCCGATGATGACACTATTGATTCTAATACTATCATGGGAACATGTTCCTAATACATAACGGGGATGTACCGTGAGACGTTGTAGGCCTTGTGGGGGGCTGACGTAAACTCTTAATAAACATGATATATTTTTGCTATTTGATTGGCTCGTTGCAGGTACTGGTACGTACCAGTACTAGTTGAATTCAGTCAATGCAATCCACATGGTTTACGTCAGTCTATATGTATAACTATAATTAAGGCTCTTTGGTTTCTAAGAATAGGGGTTCTATTCCGATTCCAATTATATAATTGGGCGGAATCAGAATCTCATTCTTATTCATGTTGGAATGGTATTCTTTCGTATGATAGAATGATTATTCCTTGCCCCTCTTCTGAAAATGAAATCACATCCTTCTGAGTTCAATTTCTATTCCCATTCTTGTCTAAATCAAGCAGATTATGGGAATAGATCATTTTAATTTTGACTCCAAAGGATTTTGATTCTAATTCCAACTGCGATCGACCCTAGGAAGATATATATATAAACTAAAACAGAGAAACCAAAATCAAGAAAGGTGATGAAATTTAGCTCTCAAGTGGAGTTCATCCAGGGAAGTTTTAAGATCTTCTCTTTTACTGACAAATCAGTTTGAAGCTGCATTTTCTTCATCTATCTCTGTTGAGAGTTGAGAGTAAAAAAGAGATACCTCCCTCTAGAGGGCCACATGAAACAACCATAGGCTGTGTTAAAAACAATATATTCCATAGTACATGGACTTAGTAACCATAAGGGGGTATTCTTTTTTTCTTTTATTTTTTAGATTTTGAGGAAGGGAAGTTGGTCAATGAGATTTTGGTTCTTATTGACTAAGAAACGCATGTCATTTTTTTAGATTTATGTGGGGATCAACGGAACTTTATTTTTCTGGATACCATCTCCTATGTGGGTAAATAACTTTATCACCTAGGGGGAAAGTTGTCAACACCTAAAATGAAACAAAAATCCTCATTTTTATAATGGGTTTTTATGGTTAGAAGTCTAAAACCATCATTACTTTACTTATTTGGGAAATAAAAAACAGAAAGATAAATGTACTTACCTGAACAAATATTAAAAAGCTCTCTAATTTGATACAAAAAGAGATCTAATTTGTACTAAAAAAAGTCTCTAATCGAAAAGGAAAAGAAGTACTAAGCCACTAGCTAGCATAAGTATTGTAGGAGCTTGGGGCATTAAAATTGTTTTTTCTTGTGTAATAGAAAATTAACATATTCTGACTTCTATAGTTCTATTTTCCAGTATGGTAGTCAGTCGTGGATTCTAGTGAAACCACAGGAGTCACTCTTCTAGGTCTCACTTATCTAGGTAAGTGGTATTCATTTCCTAAGTGAATGAACTTGGTTTTCAAAACTGAACCAGACTGGAAAAACAAGGAACCGGTCAGGTGATTGGTTCCTTTTTGCCCCAGAACCATTATTTTGCCAAAAATCATTGATTTTGTCAGTAAACCGCTGACTAGGGCAGTCAAAACGTTCGAACCGTCCAAAAGTTTTGGCCATTTTTTATTCTTTTATCAGAATGGGCCATCCGTTCGGTTTGAACGGTCGGCCCATTTGACCCGGGAACTGAAACCCTTACTGGTTTGTTGTCCGATTCAGTTTTAAAAACCTTGTGGATAAATAACTTTTCCATCGAGAAGAAAAATTATCAGTATATGATGAAATAATATTATCCCTTCTAATTCTCTCTTTTTAAGAATAAAATAGTCATTGCCGGGAGAAATAAAAAAACACAGGAAAATGGCCAAAATGAAACGGAACAAGGCGTAAAAGGAAATGCCCAAACAATGTCGGTGGGAGTAGTGACAAATAAACTTAGAGAGT